ACGAATGTAAACATGTAATAAAAAAGATATACAAATGACGTAAAAAAGGTCAACAGAAGTTGTATAACGACCTGGTATATCAAAGGGTTCGTTTCAGAAACAATCGAACGCTCAAAGGTACACATACACCGCTGCGTTGCATAATTTCTATTAACCTTTTATACATCATTTGTGTCTTTTTTCTCATATATTTATTTCTACTAATAAAAAATATTTAAAAAATACTATAATTTCATATAAAAAACAAAAGATAAAAATGCAGATAAACAAACTCTGATTTATTACACAATACAAAGACAACGTGAAAACTGCGAAACAGACTTTCCCGTCTAGCGGTTTTTGCCCCGTCTTCCAGACCACTATGTCTTGGTTAATTCAGTGGAGGAGGTGTCAGACCACCAGCCCCGGCCAAAAACCTAATCGAGCTGCTGCTCGAGCTAAAATCTCGTTTACATTTATCGTGGCCAGCCAGGAGGATCGCACGCAGGATTCAGGTTTCTTGTTCCCTAAATCCCCTCCCCTAGACAGTACCTACCACTATACGTCCAAGGAGACGCAAGATTAAGGCTTCAATTAAACACAACCGCGTCGACTTGGAAACTAATAATGCCATTCGGCAACTCCAGGAAGGATTCAAAGAGCCCTGAGATAGAGATACAGATAGATAAGAAGAGGATGTTCTCGCACGATCAACAAGATGCCTCATCGGATCCTCACGCAAAAGGAGAGGATGGTTTGTCCGCGGGGCTTCGGGGAACGACACGCGGTCCTTTGAAACTGTGCGACTCGCAAACATCACCAACGGCTGCACAGGAGAAGAATTCCGTGGGAATACCTGGGTATACACGGTTCTAATCCGTGCTCCGGCGATTTTCGCGGGATTAAATCCCCCCAGGGGCCAGAGTGAACCCAACGAATCCTGTGCCCCGGGCGAAATAAAAGAAGGGAAAGGGGTGGAAACGTTGGACAGTTGCAAGTCGAAAATTCCATCGGGACTCCGAGGAATCTGCCGGCTGTCTTCTCCTTTACTTCGTTGCGACTTATTGTCTGCTCGCTGTCTCGAGCGAGTGGAGGGAAGAGCGAATATCTCGATATTACTCGGCGTCTTTCTGGCTGGGTGGTATCCCAGCGTCGTTTCGGGAACCGCGATTCGGACGATAAAGATCGTCCTGCTGCGGCGGGCGTAATTTTATCAGAGTAATATGTAGGAGAGATGAAATCGTGAATGTCGCGAGTGGAATCAGAATCTGAGTGCGTGTGGTCAACATTCGTTTCGTGTAGTTTGCATAGGTATAATGAAACATGGAAGTTTATTTTATCTATTAACAGTTTAAGTACTGTGTGTACCAAAATGGCTACGCAACTGAACTTTGTAGGGGAACTGTGTGTCCATGTGGATACGATTACGGAGAAGCACTCCATGATACGAGTTGTGCAGAATAAACTGACGCAACTACCGTTAATTCGTATAATGGGATCTGTGAGATTGGTTTGTGTAAATTCTGATGCGACAGTTCAATATTTGTACAGCAATATTTTATCAAATAGTTAACCAGTAGTTGAAGTATTAAAGAGTTCGTTGAGCTCAAATAATATATTGGAACAAAAAGTCGTGCGGTTCGCGGCGACAGTTATCTTCAGGTGCACTGATATGCTAATTAACTTTAACTCAAATCTTGAAAACATACGGTTTTCTTATAATTAACATTTAACTGTACATTTTATCAAAAAAGATGGAAGATATTTTTTAACATGAAGATCGAAAAGATGCATTTTCGGCATGAATTTTGCTCTGACTACGTTCAACGACTTAAACAGCGCACGAACTTTTTTACCAAACCAGTATTAGTTTACATTTTTATTCTTAGTTCATTTTTATTATATTTCCTTACTGGTTTCGTCTTAGCGTTTAAACGGTTGTTTAGATACTCGTATAAAAATAAATATCGCATTGTCTTTAAATTTTGTGACTCCTACGTATATTTAATGAGAAAAGAGCGAGTGGTCTCTTATCTTTTTAATTTTAGTTGGATCTCTTTATGTGGATAATGAATTTGCCTATCTCCGCAGTTTTCTCGAGAATCTGAGAACGCTGATGGTCTATTCAGCGGTAAGGGTTTTCGTGGTAATATTTAGAAGAATTCTCTTCGGTGGGAAATTGTTGAGGAATATCCGTCGACCGGATAGAGCTTTATACGGGCCACAAAATCTCATTATAACCGTTTCGACGTCGAGCTGGCGAGAAAAGGGGGAAACAACCGGTAACAGGGGAGGGAGAGCACACTGATTTCCTTAAACAATCGTTCCCGCAAGACACCCTTTTAAGAGCATTAAGACGGACAAAAGGTACGTATGGAACGGGTATCATTTATTTTTTTGCTCTGCGAGACCAGTGATAGCGATTCGTTTAATATATTACATTCCTGCAGTCGCGAAACGACGGAACAATTGAAATGAGAATCGCGAGAACGATGAAGTTTTAATGATACCCCCGATCTTCGAAACGGTTGCTTTCGATGGAAACGTGGATATTACCAGGGAACGTCTGACAAAACTTTTTTTTAGAAAATCTTATAATAAAAGAGAGTCCCGTGGATTACACAACCGATAATCAATGCCAGGAGTTGGAAATGAAGAACGATTAGTATCTACGGAGTGACGGTATAGATGATAGTTTGTACAGAACCATTTAACAAGAAGTAAACACTTTGAACACTGAATTGTTCAGTATCTAAGAAATCAAACTAACTTCTTATGGTATGACAATTATGTACCCTTATAGAAATTTCGATTTTCATAGATAGTTTTATACAAATAAGAAACAAACATAAATTCACTTTTTTTTTTTCTCAGGAAAATCTACACTCAGACACGGTTTCCGATCATGGATAAAATCAGATAGTGAATGCACATTGCAAGGTTTCTCAAATGTCCATTCAGAGTTATCATAAACGTCCACAAGAGTGTCACTTCAAAAACCAACCAGTAAGAAAAATCGTCGCAAATTTGTTCCGATCCATCAACGAGACCCGTAGACCAATCGATAGAATCGTGCACGTCGCCCGACCGACCGATCGAATCGTTTCATTTTTCAGGACCGATCGACCCGCCTTGGCCAGAAATGGACTTTCCACGTGTTAACGTCGCAATTTCCTGGTGCATTATGCAGAACGCAGATGCGCGTGCACTCCGTTCGCGGACGGAAGCGAGGGTGGATGGTAAATCGGATCCCGAAACTCGCGATACATTGCCATTTTCCCCGCCCGTTACCCCCTCGCGCCCTTGAAGCTTTTGCATATAAATAATGTCGCAAGATGGCGGCGCGAAATCATAAAGTTACCCGACTGGAACGAGAAGTCGCTGCCTTTCCCTCTCTCTTCGTCTCCCATCTGTTTCCTCTTTTCCCTCGGTCTACGTTTCACCTGACTTCGTTTCGATCGATCGATAGGCACACCGTCGCCCCGAAACGCGGCTGGTGGGGGGATGCATTTATTTTTCAAGGGCGAAATTTATGTATGACTCGAGCGCGACGGATGCCACGAGAAGAGATGGGGATACCCCGCTCATCGCCGACCAGGAACATTATCGATTTAGAGGGAAAACTGACGCAACCGGCGTCGGAATCGTTACTAAATTTAAGGAAACAACGACGTGGAACGACAGGTTCACGATCGAACCACCTGACCTTACGGAGAAGGGAATAACCGAGCAGAGAGAATCCTATTGGGAATGGGCGTATTAGATGCGACCGAAGAAAATTCTCCGTTATGGACCGAGCATGTAGTGGTATTGAGTGTAATCGAGACCGGGGAGTAATATTTGACGAGTAAAGAAGATTCAAAGGGATGTTGTCCGAGAGACAATAATATTGGAGGATTTTTAACATCGGTTGCAGAAGGTTAGTACATGTGTTCGAGTTTGAGAAGAGGAGAACCCTCCTTGATGGTACAAGTACTGCAAGTAACAATAAGAATTTTCTTACGATACCGTTACGGACCCATTATTGTACGTATAAGTAGAAAAATTAACCAAACCTAAAAGAATTTTTGTTATGAGAGTAAATCTATGTTTTATAATAATAACGAAATTATAGATTTACTGCCAAAGTAAGAAATGCGAAGGGAGCAACTTCTGATTATCTAAATCATGTATCTATATCTTACTCTGAACTATCAGATATGATGTATAAATGTCAAAATAGTTAATAATTATTTAGTAATATTGTGGGAAGAAAACTTTTATCATAATAAACTTATTATATGGTATATATACACTGTAAACTAATCAGGAATTTCGACCGTAACGATACCTGAGTTTCTCGTTGACAGTGTAATACGTTTTTAAAAATAATAATTCCAGTTATTCCATATAAACAGTAGATTCAGTATCTATCGTGCTGTGATTTTGCCATTGAACAGTCTTTACAAGGACGATACTTTCAGTAAACCGCGTATCTACTCAAGAAACTACCTGTTACCCTAACCACCTGCATGATACAGTATATCAAATCCCATCCAGAAAATCCCATCCAGAATCTACATATTTTTCCCAACATCCTCTAAATTCTCTTACCGACAGTTCTCCATTTAAAACCGACACTGCTCCCTCAATATACATTCACGATTATCACCAATCGAAACTTAACATCCCACTACGCAATTTCCAAACACTTCCCCCATAATCTCAACTCCCAACAGATCCCCCCCGATTCGTCCCTAATCCGTTCACGAGAAGAACCCAGCCTATTCGCGGAACCATATCTGAATGACCCATTTCACGACTATAGCAGTCAGACCGACCAGCGTGTAATCTCAGTCCCTGGATTCATCCCGCGGTTAAAAATAAATCATCAACGAGCCCTGTATCTTAATTGAAACCATGCTTGAAGAAGATCTCCGCGCGAGGGGGGGGGGGCACATCCACGAATCGATCTAAATATATATACATATGTAACCCGGAGTGCATGCGAGAGAACGGTTCGGGCGGCGTAGGGGACTGACCTTGGCGAACCTCTCCTGTGTGTCGAGGATTTCAATGAAGAGCGAGACCTTATCGTCGACTATCTTGAAGCCGTTACGCGGCTGTGCGAGCAGCTGTTGTATCGCCTGCGATGTGGTGAGCGGTGTCGCAGGGCTGGTAGCCGGCGTGGATGTTCTGGTTCCGGTACTGCCGGTGCCTGGGCTGCCTGTTGTGTGCAGATGAGTGCATCCCAAAAAGATTGGGTTCCCGTTCGGCGAGACGCCGCAGCTAAATGGTCGGAACGGTAGACCGTGAAACGTCGGGCTGGGTCTGGGCGCGGTAACGCGAAGAAGAGTCTGAGCAGATGGCAGAGATAGTCGGCGCACAGCGCTCTGATGATTCTGTTGTTGTTGGTGCTGTTGTTGCGTCTGCTGTTGAGATCTCGACGGTGACTTGAGAATCTGGTAATCGCTGGCGGCAGATGGTAAGGATCGATAACCGGAATCCGACGGCGAGGCGGGCGGCATCGGAGCGGTTTGAGGGGTGGTAGCAATACTGTGAGGCCTGGGTCGTAGAGCCGCGCCGGGTGTCCACGTGTTCGAGTTGCCTGGATTCGTCAGAATGCTCAGAGCGGGCCCTTGTGACGTGGGCGTAGGTGGCTGGGGATGTGGCAGGGTCGAAGCGTACGCCCTGCGAGGTATGGGTTGGTGCAACACCATTCCAGAGGAACCCCATTGTATAGGCTCGACTGTTGTACGAGCGGACGATGGTAGGCAGCCGCCGCCACCGCCGCCGCTGGCTGGTGTTGCTGGAGCTGTTGCAGGCATGCTTGTTGTAGTTGTAACGGGTGTCGAGGCGATGCTGTGAGGCCGCCTAGGTACGGGTTGTTGAAGCTGCCCGTTCCATAGAGACTGGGGTGGTATAACGCTGCGAGTCGTGGGTCCCATTGCACCGTTGACGGATGCACCGTTGCTGCCGCCGCCCCGTGGCTCCTGTTGACCGTTGACACCATTGATGCCGCCATTGTTGAGACCGCCGCCGGTTGGTAGAGATACTGGAGTGCTGGCGACCGAATGGGCGCGCCGTTGTACCATCCCTGGTACACAGGATGTAGTTGTGCTTGGTGGGCCAACGGTGCTCCACGATGACGGTGATGCTGTTGATCCTGGTGCGATGGTTGATGATGGTGTTGCTGCTGCGCCATTTGGTGATGATGATGTTGCTGCTGCTGATGATGATAGTGATGACGTTGCGTTTGCTCGGCCAGCGAGCTGACCAAGGGAGTGGTGGATACTTGCGACATGGTGGTATGGTGGAGCGGCAATACTATGAGGACGTCTCGGTGCTGTTGGTTGGGGTAGACCATTGGGAGTAGAGCGAATTTTATTTGCGCCGGATGCTGGTATCGGGGCTGGTGGGGTGTACAATGGGAATCCGTGACCATTGTGACTCGGGCTACGGGTGGGCAACTGGTTGATCGGGGACGACTGTACGTTGTTACGTTGTTGTTGTTGCTGGTGCTGGTGCTGTTGCTGTTGCTGCTGTTGGTGTTGCTGATGGTCGTTGACGGAGTTTGCTCGAGGCGTGGTCGCGGGATGTGTAGGGGCCGGTGGGGGCGGGGGTTCCAACAAATTTTCAAGTTCTGCAGACAACGACCACGCTGAAGATAATGCTGATAATGGTGGTACTGTTGGTAGAGCTGGTAACTGGACGGCGGTGATTGTTGTATTGCCACCGGACTCGGTACTGTTGACTGCTGTGGCAGGGCTTGGTGAGGCGGACTTGTTGTTGACGCGTGTGGCGCCGCGTTCACCGCCGACGACAGCGGTGACGTGCTGTAGATGACGATCATTCAGGCTCGCACGTCCGTTGACATTGCGATAGAAACCGGGACCCGGTGCTAGGTTCAGACTGGTCGGCTTCTGTTTCACGCCGCCGTTTGGCTGCGGAGACGAGGCGGGTTTCGGTTCGCCCATTTGGTTTTTCCTAGCGTCTGGACACGACCGACTAGGTGTCCGGCTGCACGATCATGGTCGTGTGCTCGTCACAGGAGTATCGTATTATTACCTTCTAAACAACTAGCGGTCCTCTTCAGTGTATTTTATTGTCCGTGGATTCAAACGCATGATACACCTCCGAGTCAATGTTCAACGAACGATAATCCAACTATTCTTTACGATACTTTATTCGAATGATCCGACGTAGGAAAGTTTCATTCCCCAACGTCTTTATCGTTGCACCGAGTTTAAGTTGTACGCGGAACAGCTCGGGCACATTTCGCGCGCGACATGTCGCCCCGCGTGCAAGTAAGTCGATAATCTCCGCGCTTCGTCGTTTGGCAGTTCAAGCATTCGTTCCTTCGTCGACTACGTCGAGTCGGCCGATCTCCATTTTTATCGACGGTAGCCTCCCGCGACAGTGTATCACGAGCTATATGGAAGTTTTTCTTGTTCTCCACACGCGAACGATAACACGGAATTTAGGCTCTATTTGTTCATTCGTTGCATCAGTCGATAGGCCGGGGTCAAGCTTTGTCTCCCGCACCCGGAGATCGTATAATATTCCGAAATAACATTTGATTAATTGTACGCCCCGCAAGCGTTAATTCAACGGCCGGAATTCTAGCGTGAATCGATCGTTATTAATTACTTGTCGATTGTTACTCGGACTAAAGTGCGAACTCATGACCGTTATTATGTTCAGAGTACTGGCTTGTTATGTCGGACAATGTACCGACTGCAATCCAATTCTTCCGAGCCGGACATATTATATTATTTCCTCTTCTTTCCTATTAATAAATCTCTCTCAACTGGTATCGCATTGGCTTGCGAACAACCGGTATAAATCTCTCAAATATATATATATATATATATACATATATCTATATATATTACATAAGATCTTCGATTAATAAATCTCCGCTATAACGACAACGATCGCTAAATCCTCTAATAATGTACTTTAATAGAACTTCGATCTACGAATGATTGCTCGAGGTGAGAATTCCTCTGTTTCAACAACTTTCTTATTTACGCGTCTCGCGTCTATGTTTCCCCTCTGTACCAAGTCGAACAACCAAGACCACCGGTACGTATTTACCACGTGGTCGATCGTGAGTGCCGCACCGTTGACTTCGATCGACAAACAGATCGCGATACGCCCGGCGCGGAACGACACCAGACAAAACCTTCCACAAGCTCGCTATCCTTCACTAGAATTTAACGTCGGATACGTCACACGCTGCCCCGTGGCTCGTTGAATCCTCGCGACTGACCGTTAACGCGCGCACTCGAAACACCAGCCACCACCCGGACACGCAGAGACGAATCAGCACAGGTCGGGTCCGAAAAAAACGCGAAACAATTTCTCTGATACGACGTGAAACACTTCTCCCTCCTCATCCGTTCTGGGGTCTCGAGAGCTCACAATGCCGCCCGTTGACGAATCGGGAACAAGACAGTATCATCCGTCTTCCGATATCTCAGGCATTCTTCGATCTTCTCGGCAGCCGTTTCCATGTCGACACAACCTCGTCTCGTCACCGGGACCACTCAGACCGAACGATCCGTCATCCACCTCGTGCAACCGATCGCGCGACGACGATGATCCTCCGTCATCCCGAGACTCCCGATGATATCACCGGGCTGAACGGGAGCCTGGCTGGCCAGCATGATTCACAGCGAGGAAGAGAACGACGACGACGACGCGAGACTTCCGGGTCCACAGGGATGAACCGAAAAGGAGACGACCGAGTGATCCTCGCCGGTTAGGGGCAGCCGCGTGAGTTCAATGTGCGCGGGTCAGGAATCGAAAAGAGGGAAGAGTTAGGGACAGGAGGTCAGTCGGGTGAGACTGACGCGTGGCTGCCGTGCCGGGGGCGGAGTGGCGTGTTCCTCTTTGGAATACGGCGGGATTCGAGCCGCGAGCAGCCGCACGCCTGCGCCTCGCGGCCAACTACTGCTCTCTCTTCAGCCTCTCCTACCACCTCTTCTAGCTGTCTCGCTCACTCTCTTCCAATCTCTCTCTCTCGCTCTAGCTTTCTCTTCCTCTTCCTCCTTTCCATCCTCCCACTTGTCGTCTCTCTTTGCTGTTCCTGTGGGAACATTGGTACGGCCTTGCTACACCCTCCCCCACATCCCTCTCCCGGTTGGTCCAGCAGCAGAGTTCTCCGAGGCTGTGTTGCCGTCAACGTCGCTGTCGACGACGACGACCATGCCGATCCTCGCGCCTGTTTCCTCTCACCGCTAAGCCGCGGTGCTAGGGTTTCGTGGTCCAGCAAAGGGTGAGAAGGGAGGGAGAAAGAGAGAAAGAAGGACAAAAACAAAGGACGCAAAAACAAGTGGAGGAAGAACCGAGACTCGGTTTGTCTCTTTGAGGACAGACAGAGGGGACACCACCTCCAACGTTACCTGGTCCACCGGACGCCCTATCGTCTCTTTGCTTCTCCTTTGATTCTATTGTCTTTGGCATCCACCCTTTTTCGCGGCCACACGCCTGTAACCGGTCGACCATTAATTTCGTCTCATTGATTCCCGGTTGAATTCTCCATGGCCCCGGACCAGCTAGGTGAACGGCGACGGCTTTCTGTCTATGTGATTTTACAGAGACACCCACGGGTACATAATTATTCGGTGAGATAAAGGAAAAGATATGTACACGTACCTAGCCGAAAGCGAAATAACGAGCGGTGAAAGAGGGTCTCACGCGTGCGGGTTGTACGCCCTGCTGGTCCACAAGCCGTTGACAACCGTTTTCGACGGGAAGACGGGGGTATAAAGGGGGAGAGAAATAGACGAAAAAAAAAAAAATGGGAACGAGAGTACTATCTCCCGGCGATGGAGGCCGTACGCAGGGCACATTGCCCTCCTGCCATCTATTCGTCGCTCATCTCCCCCCACCCTGATTCCGCTACTCTCAACCCCCTACCTCTCCCTTCCGTGGTTTCTCGTCATCTCTCTCTATATCTCTCTCCCTCTGTTTATCTATCCACCCCTTCCGACGTGGTCTCGCTGTAATACGAGCAGCATGCGTCGACCGTCAACCCCCTTTTCGTGATCTGGGTATGTGGGGCTCTGGTCATGCCGCCTGAAGATGCTTGTGGATCAATGATAACGGCTATGACCACGATAACAGTAGGGTTATTGCCGATATCGTGAACGGTCTGAGGCGAGACAGGGTGAAAGTGCATATTGTACAGCTGGAAGATGATTGAGGTTTCGTCTTGTCGGGGACTATCTGGGGCAGCGGATGATTTGAAGATGAGATTTCGGAATGCTAGGACCCCTTAGGGAACACTTTCTAGATAATTTCCTATTTAATGTGCGATGATACTTCGTTTTATATTTAGGTGATCTTCGAGAGTTTTCTTTCTGAACCCGTATGGGCAAATTAACTATCCAGTTACGGATTATTATTTTTTATTCTTCTGTTACGACGGATGACATTAAGATGGATGAAAGACGATAATAAAGTTACTCGCCAGAAATTGACGGAACTACAGAAACACGATTCCATGTTGGTTGTGGCTAGGGGTATAAAGATGGATAAATATACATTGACACACTAAAATGAGACCTCCAGTCGTTAAGGGAAGATTCCTCTTCCGCAAATCCCAGATCTTCTTGTCTCAGCTCTAGAGTCAGTTTTTAGGTACTTCGAAATAGGATCGTGAGTGACAAAGGCAAAGCAAGGTTTAGGAAAATGTCATCCCCGAATGACGTAGGGTTTAGACCCGAACCTGTTTTGATGAAGAACATTCAACCGGATGGACGAGATTAGTGCATTCGGGTGGCAGAATTATTTGCAAACCTGCGCTGAGTCGTTTTAGCGTTAACAGAAATTCAGCGAGTAGTTTGCACATTCCCAAAATGGATGCAACACGAGTTCGAGCAGATTAAGAGACATTTGCAGCGAATGGAGGTCATAAATCGACGGTAGGACGTAAACACCGGAGACACTGGAATTACGTAATTTTTTCCCCGACGAATGTATTCAATTCTACCGAGAAATCCTCTAGAATAGTCGCTGAACTGCTCGTCGAATCTTGAATCCGGTTTTCAGAGACGAAAAGCGACCACTTTACTCGACTGGTATTATAAAAAAAGGTTGCCGCGAAAAATAAATTAGACCTTAAAAAGAAGGAAGCCTTTTTTGAAAATTTTCTACCTCGGTGAATTCACTAACTCCGCTTTAAACAAAGCAACACGATGTTTCTATCACATTCGTTACACTTTAAAAATACTAGAATAAATACAGAATGTGCAAAAATAATAGAGAAGTTCGACTAATTTTATATTAATATTTCATTCAAGTATAAGATGACACATCCCCTCTTTTTATGGAAGCATTAACGAAAATATTTTTATGTTTAACCTATGAATAATTTTCATTACAGATTATTTATTCTGTCCTGTAAAATACTTTTCGCCAGAGATATAATAAATGCATAATATCCAAAGTCTAGTAATTATCCAGTCGTATTCGATAAGAATGAAATGAGGTTATCGCGATTTCCACGATGCAATGGCTCGTACGAAACGGATCACGGCGCCCAGTTGGAACTCTAGATTATTCCACGACTTCTGTTACATTTTCCGTTTTCAATATAACCGCATCCACGTGTTCGACTTCTGTCACGACCACTGTGTAACGTATCTCGCGAGCAGCGAATGCATATCCCACAGACCAGCGATATCCAGAAAAAGTTCCGGTCCAGACCCGCGGACCCGCCGTCGAAACTTTTCACATAAAGGCATCGCCGACACGAGGACGTCTCGACTTCATCGTGAACACAGAACGCGTGTAAGAGAAAAATACAGATCCGCCGATTCGTTTTAATCAAATTCCCCTTGTAATATCAAATTTCCTTTTCAGAAAACTCGATCTGTAAATCCGATGATGCATTTGACTTTGTTGATTAATTACCGTCTATTTCTACTTGGCAAGGTGTTCAGAAACATTCTGAATATTGGTTTTG